AAACAAAAAGCCTGATCCACAAGGGGTGCGGACAGGAGCACACTTGGAACTTCACCTATCTGGATGGTACTGGGCTTGTTTTTGTTTTTCTGTTATCGGAGGATTCCAAGCAATGCAGGGCTGGCGGGCTGCAGTGAAGTTGAGCATGGGTACCTGCTGGTATCGGCTTCCTCCAACAAACACAACCGTCACATGATAACTCACGGTTGATAGATTAAAAAAAATAATAACATTCAAACTGCAACTTGTTTTGAGAAGAAACAGGGAAATAAATGCACACAATAGACTGGGTATCTGCTGATTCTGATAAAGCATCCCTCTGTTGGCTGGGAGGGAAAGACAACAGGATGGTTATTTGTACAGTATTTATCTTTGAAATCAAGGGCCTGTGGTATACCTCACCTTGGGAACAAACACTGCAGAATGATCATAGGACAGTGTCAAATCTCTGGTTCTGATTTACCAACAGTTATGATATTTTTCCCTTAGGAGGAAAAGGAAAAAAAAAAAAAGGTCTCATTCTGAGACCTGAAACAAACCAGGAGAGCGATGCCCAGGGAATTCAAGGATGTGGCTCAGCTGAAAACATAATGACACCAAAGAGAATACCCTAGGTCAGAGGTCAGTAAACTGGTGCAAAGAACGCATCCACTCCCAGTCCTCACACAGTCTTAGGGCTGATTCTGTGCCCACAAGCTGAGTGCTTGTCTCAGAGACTGGGTGGCCTGCGAAAGGCTACCATACTGACTATCCGGCTCCTTTACAGGAAAAGTTGGCCAGCCCTGTTGGACGATCACCTTTGACTGTGTAGGACACTCTACTGAAATTTATGGCTAAGGATTATGTTAAAGAACAGTCTCTTCTAACAAATTAAAGCTCTGCATAGTCACAACCTCTTCCCTAGGTATAAGGTCAGAAATGCTTGTAAGAAAGTGAAACTGAAAGTTGCTCAGTGGTGTCTGACTCTATGCGACCCCATGGACTATACAGTCCATGGAATTCTCCAGGCCAGAATACTGGAGTGGGGTAGCCTTTCCCTTCTCCAGGAGATCTTCCCAACCCTGGGATCGAACCCAGGTCTCCCTCATTGCAGGTGGATTCTTTACCAGCTGAGTCACAAGGGAAGCCCAATGTTTGTATAGTTTCAATTATTTCCCTTTTTAAATATACACTTAAGTAGATGAGAAAAGAAGTACTAATACTTTTTGACAGTGCCTGCTACAGACCAGACACCTGACATGATGTACCTTTTCATTCTCTCAACCCTAAGAGGCAGTTATTATTATCATCCCAAATCACACGTGCTTACACTGAGCTCAAAGAACACACTCCTAGCAACTGGCTTCACGACCCATTCTGCCTTTCTTCAAAGCTTTCTTTATGCCTATTGCTGTACACAGTAAGCATACTGTTAATAAAATGAACTGCTTCTAACCAGGCGCTATTATATAACAGTTAAGAGCAAGTCCTATGAAGTCACACTGCCTGGGTTTAGATCTTGACTCCACCTATTATTAGCTGTGTGACCTTGGGAAAATTATTTAACCTTGCTGTTCCTTAGTACCCGTATCTGTAGCTTGAGAGTAATACTGCAATCATATCACTACCAGGTGGCTGTATTAAATGAGTTATATATGTAAAGCACTTCAAACTATGACTGTTGAACAGGTCAGGGCTATACCAGGGGAGTGTAAAATTCAAGGATTTAGAAGATAGGTGGAAAAAAAAAATCTATGAAGCAACCTCTAAATCAAAGACAGAGCAGGGACTTCCTGGTGGTCCAGTGGTTAATACTCTGCACTCCCAAGGCAGGGAATGTGGGTTTGATCCCTGACTGGGGAGCTAAGATCCCACATGCTATGCAGCTTGGAGATTAAAAAAAAGGGAGCACAGAGCAATCGACACTGTGTTAAGTAAGAGTGCCTTGAAAATCTAAGACCTCTAGTATCAATTTTCTAAAACCATAAGAGAATACCTCTAAAGTAGGATCATGGGACAAGGTCCTGCTCATGGGCCCAGGAAAAAGGTGCTTTCAGAGTCTACAAAATCTGGCAGTTTGAGAAGTACTCCAAAATCACTTCCCAATAATAATGACACTGCTGTGATGTCATTCCAAGAGGCCGTATGGCAAAGCTGGTTTCACGACAGCCAACATGACCACCCTTCAGACTGAACCAACACATGAAGGACATGAACTCACAAGAGTTACTTACTTTTCAATGCTCTAGGCCTTAAACTGGAAGACTACTGTGAATTTCCAAGAGCTAAGATACCGCTGAGGAAGAATATCAAAATCCTGACTTTGTCATAGACTGTCAATCAACGGGTAAACTTGGGAAAGCACCAAGAGAACTCCAAGAAGTAGAGGCAGTTTTATTATTCAGCATTTACTCTCCATTTGCTGCTTTACAAGATTCATTTTTTTTCTTTTTTAATTTTGGGAACCAAGTCTCTCATCCCCAGCCCCCATGGGCCCCTGGGGAGGGAACAACGTCTTGCACTCTGCAGGTCGGCATGTGACTCAAGCCTGGCTGCCTCATTATGACTGGTTCAGAGCTAGAACACCTACTCACTCCGGGCCAATGACAGTCTGCCAAGAACACTTTTCTGGAACTACTGAAAAAAGAGATGCACTCTGGGGTCAATCAACTTATAGCAGGTGAATCTGTCTTCTTTACTTTTACTTGGAAAGAGCCTGAGTAGGAAGTCAACGCAGAAGAAAACAGAGCCACGGAGCAATGAACCGATACTCCAATAACCTGGTTCAAGCATCAGGGTCCAGTCGTGCTTGCTGCCAGCTGTATTCTCAGAACTCCTAGTTATAGGAGTCAGTTATCAACCCCCAACACCACCCTCCTTTTCTCTGGTTTAAGGCAATTTAAGTTGGATTTCTTTAACTTGGAAACGTAAGTATTCCAACAAACATACATGAATAAGTAAGTACTAGGAACTAAAGAAGCAACAGTTGCAGGACTATAGTGAGCATTTCAATTTCACTGAGCAAACAATGCCATGTCATGTGCAAAACCACACAAAATAATAGAGCGACATGAATAGAAGTGAAAACTAAATAGGCGGTTTCCTATAGAAGGGCCAGACTCATTATCCTTAGAAGAAAAATGGGCTTTTTTATAGGAATCAAGTCTAGGCTCTATACTGATGACCGTCAGATCCATTTCTTTAGAAATGGATGTGGTTTGAAAGTGTATTGTCTTTTCGTGGAGGTATATTTGCACCCCGCCCCCAAACTACATATATATACCTAACATCAGCTCACATAATAAATGGACCTAAGATCTGAGTGGGAAATACTCTGCCTGTTAACAAAAAAAATTTTAAGTGGTCAATTGGAAAAGTGCCCCTTTCCCTCATGACTCTAAAACTGACATGTCAATAAGAATGTTAATAGTAATTCTATAGTTCTAGAAACTCTGTAAAATAAATCATATTTACAGATATTCACTGGCCATTCTGTAGAGGAGTGAAATTAAATCAAGATATTTATCAAAATTAGCACTGGTACAGAAAGTGAAACTAGAATTGAAATGTTTCTGCCAAGATCTTTTTCTCATTATCAAAATACAATTAGGCAAGCGATTAGGAAACAAGAAACAAAGATTCTACAATAAGGGATTTAGGAGAGAACAAAGCCCAGTAGCACTAACTTGAATTATCATAATTGTAAAGAGCTGCTGCTTAATTTAAAATAAAGTGTCACTGCTTTTGAGTATTAATATTTAGAAACAATTTTAACTATCTCTTTTTAAAAAAAGTTTAAGTACTTAAGTTTGTAATGACCACATAATGCTCTTGAAGTAAAATATTAAGCGGGAAAGCACCGAAACAGATTCATAGGCCTCCATTCATTAGTTAAAAACATGATATTCACCAGAAGTGCTTGCAGGTAACGCTGTATCTTTAAGGATGGCTTTATTAAAATGTTTGTACCCGGGTCCACAAAGATAGATACTGAAATTGTTCTAATAATATAAAGGTCTTGCAAAACCAGAGACCTGCATGTAAATCAGCCCACCTCTATCATGGGGCTTGAATGAGACAGAAAAGTCAGAGGCAAAGACTCCCCACTGCCCCGCCAACACCCAGTTTGCAAACCATCATGTACCTGTAAATATAGGAGTTTTATACATGCATATATTTGCTTGCTGCATGATAGATAAATATAGTGAATATAATGCGTATTATTGTCAGTCCATACATCAATGATTCAATGATACTATGAATATATTTATGTGATGTCAATAATGCAGGGCAGTTTCATCTCAATATTTTTAAACGACAAGGCACTGTATCTAAGGGAAATCTTAAGATGTAGTGCAGAAGCATCTCATTTCAGCTTGGAGAGGGTTAACACACCATTTACTCAAGGGATGCTTAATCAGTGGTATAGATTCAAATGGGATAGCCCAAGTTTCAGTCATACTTCAACTGTAGGAGTTAAACTGAATCCTTTTCCCTGTAACAACAAGAATCTGAACAAAAGCCTGCACTGATATAGAAAGGTAAGAATCAAATTGGTAGCTTTTCCTGGACGTTTGTAAAGTCATGTGTGAAGAAACAAAGAGGTCCAATCATCAGGTTGTAATTGGCCAGTAATCGACACCGATTTTATAAAACTAGAGCTAGTGCCTATGTTATTAATTTAATATGGAGGGATGTGAGTAAAAGCAAAGACTAAATTACTACACGTTTAACACTGGAACAATTTTTACTTAATCACTGTCATTCTGAGAAAATAAGGAAAGGATCTTACGAATAGGATCAAACTGCCCTTGGATATCAATCTTTTCCACTTAACAAGGCAACACTCAATAGATCTGTAAAACTCTTCCTGTGACTATGCTAGATATGGTGATTTTGAGTCTATCTTCAAAATGGTGGTGTGAAACCCTGCATCAAAAAGGCATTCCATGAGGAAAAAGCATGAACAGTGGGAGGTGACGGCTACGTCTAAGAAGAAAGTGTTATCAAATCATTCTTACTTTAGAAATGACTGGAAATCTTCACACACTGCTTCACAGCCAGGCCACTTGCATACACCGTGTCCATAGAGAGGATGGCTATGGGGATGCTCCTCATGGGACAAACTGGAAGAAAATACAGAGGACAAGAGAGTGAATCGGCTGCCCAGAACCAGCCCCAGACGTTAAAAGGCAAGAGGAGCCAGCCCATGCCGCCAGAATGTGAGCACAAACCAACTCATGCTTTCCTCTTCTCGTGGAATTTATGAATTACTTTTGCAGCACACTTTACTTACAAAGCAAGAGCTAAATTTCAAAATGTGAACAGTCCAATATTAGAGATGTTACCATCACATCTGAAAAGTGCTCGACAGGCTTTTGTTAAGAGGCAGACCTCTCTACTCAGACTGCAAAGGATTTGCTGAAAAGCCAGAACTTTATACCTATGGCTGACTCTTGTTGATGCTTGGCAGAAAACAACAAAATTCTGCAAAGCTATTATCCTTCAATTAAAAAATACATAAATTTTTAAGAAGGCTAGAACTTACCATTTAGTCTACATAGTGGAAATTATAAACTGTACTTGATTTTGAGATTCTCCCCAGAATATTATAAAATCTTTCTCTCCCATCTACCACAAAGAGCATCCCCCAAACTGTATAGCCTTTTCACAAGTTAATTTTACCAAGCAGAGTGCAATAAAATAATGTAGAATGAAATAATTGAGAAAGACAAATTTATCCAAGTAGATAATTAACTTAACAACAAAAACAACAACAAAGCTAACAGGAGCAGGAAGATTCTTTCCCTACAATGACTGACACCAACACTGAAAGAAAACTTGGCATGGACATGAAGGGGTTACTCCTCCACTGGGGCTCCAATCAATAGCTAATGATTTGGCCACACGGATGCAGGTCATAGGATGCTTTGATCCATGCCACGTGGTGCTTAGAAAAGTGTATCTGTTGTACTCGCTGATGAACCATATTCTCAAATATTTTCTCCGTTAGATTTCTGCATCCAGACGTCTTTCAGACAAATTATTTTTACAGTCGTTTCCATAACTTTAGACTCCATCAAATAGAAATGTAAAACTAACATTAAGAGTTCCGTTTTGTACTAAAGCACATTCTTTCAAGGAAAGGGCTATTTTGCAACTTACTCCACTGCTTCTGCCAGACTCTGAACTTCAAGCACACTGCATTATAATTACACACACACACACACACATGCACAAGGGGCTTGTATTTTATACAACTGCCAGGACGTGTATTCATATATTTTATTGATCCACATTCACAGAACAGACATACACACATGCCACTTGTCCCTGACTTACAATGTAATTAATCCACAGCGAGCATATTATAAACATTTAAACTAAGGTCATTAATACTAAGCACCCACCTTAACAAAGATCCACAGGTCTCTTTGTGGCCCTTAAATGATTCACTTGGAAATCTAACATAATTTAAAAACAATAATAAACTATTTTGCCTGACAATAGAAAATGAATCTGAGAAACAAAACAAACAAACAAAAAAAGCAAAAGACTAACTTAGGAAAGCATTGAAAGGTGCTCTCATGGAAGAAAAGAGAGTAACACAGGTGAACTAACGCAGTTACAGTGAGATTTCTAAAGCCCAGTAACAAAGTGACATTCTCCGAGCAGGTAAAAGGGTGAAATTCCACTGGAATGAGGCAAAGCATGACTACCTATCCATGTTCATCTTCTGAATTAAAAAAATACATAAATAAAAGATGGCACAAAACAATTTTAAAAAAATCACTGGCAATATTTAAAATCCAAGAATCCTTCTAAGTAACAAGATCCTCAGAATATCTGAGGGAAGGAAATCATTTGAAAAGAAAACTGTTCCAAACCAATATCTTACAAAGGAAAAAAGAAAAAAAGAAGCCCAACCACAAAAACTCTTTTCTTTACCAATTTTGTGAAGACTAAAATATTTTCATAATCCTAAAAGAAGTAGTGTATATTTGTTGTACAAACCTTGAAAAGAAAAAAAAAATTACCCCCGAATACACACAAATATATTTTTGATAAAATAAGGCATGGAGGTTTGTATTATTCTTTCAAATTTAAGGTGATTTTGTAAACAATGTGTCTTGTTATCAACCAATTAATCCTTAAAAGCCTTATATATTGATGCATAACAGCCTGTCATATACCATCTCAGGTCAAGTTACCTGCTAAAATCAATCTAACATTCCTCCATTTTGGACACTGAGGTTCCCTTCATATTTCTAATATTAATGAATAATTACACCCGGATGTAATTTGGCCCGGATGTTTTACCGGGCCAAACATCCCAGTACAGAGTGGATTTTCACCCGAAGATACATTCAGAGAAATGGAACCACTCTTTGAAATCAGTCCTAAGTTTTAACACTGACCACAGATACTTTATTAAGTAATTCTTGAGAAATGCTACATGCTGAGTACATTCTTAGTCATTGTACCTACTTTGTGTGATTCTTTAGATTAGAAACGAGGAGACTGAACTAATTTAGATATAAAATTAACCTCACTAGTTACAAATTGCCAATGGTTATTCTTCTGTGCTTTGTCAGTTAAGCCAAGACAATTCTCAAAGTTATAGTGTGAAAGAAAGTAACATGTCTTCACTAGAGGAATTTACAACTAGAAATAAAATGCACATAATTTAGTAACTTTGCCACTCCCACTCCCTACCCCCAAAAACATCCCCTGTTTCTTGGCTGACTTATTTGTAACCTGACTTATTTGTAGCCTTAGAAAACTACTCTCCTCTTAAAATGTATATCTGGTTCAACTTAATATCCTTATTTCCAAGGAAGGATAGATGACAACTCACTGAAGCCTCCCAAGGGTAACTGTTCACATCTGAAGGCTAAGAGAAATGCCAGCTCCTGGCATGCATACATGTTTACATGCTCAGCAGACCTCTTGAAAACGTGCTCTACCTTAAAACTGTATTTTTATCACAAAACCATTACATGAGCTTATTTTTCAAAGTTCACTTCACACTGTGTTGGCTCCTCAACTCTGCCCCAACTTCACCCCACCCTGGTCAGCACTGCAGGTGCCCTGGGGCATCGCCTCGCTGTGTTCTTGTTCTCAAGCGTTACTAGAGTTTACAAACGTGGAAACAGGCTATACCTACTACTGTCATGTGCTTTCCATATGTGAATCCTTCGTATGTTATTGGAATACACCTGCTTCACAATATCGTGTCAGCTTCTGCCGTCGAGCAGCGCGAACCAGCTCTGTGTATACACGTATCCCGCCCCTGGTAAGCCTCGCTGCCCCTCGTCCCACTGCTCTCGGCCACCACCCAGCACCCAGCCGAGCTCCCGGGGCTACAGAGCAGCTTCCTGCTAGCTCTCTATTTCACACATGGTGGTGTATGCATGTCAGCGCTACTCTCTCAGTTCATACACACTGACCGAAATAAAGCCACTGGCTTTGGAAGGAAAAAGAAGAGCCCGGCAGTGGTGCCGGGGAATAGCATCTCTGAAAGACACAAAAGAGACTAATTCCTGTTCTCTCTGGGGCACCAGGGGAGCAGAGAAGCGAAATTTTCACTGTATCATTTTTTGTATCTTCTGAAGTTTAAAATTTTGTGCATGACAGGTATTGTTTTTCTGTGCAACTGTTCAATATATGTATAAAGACATACACAGACCCACACAAACCCACACCGAAACATACATAGGCATGAAAAAATCAAGTGCTGTCTATGTGGGACTCACTCTCCAGATTGATGCTGGTGTGAGCGAAGGTGGTACCTTGGCTGCCTGTGTGGCTAAGTCTTGCTTCTGGCCTTTTAGTCATTCTGGATGAAGCACCCTCAGACTTCACCAGCTGTACCCCTGAATGCGAGCTTTTCTGTTTCACCAGAAAAGTGGAAAAAGTTTCTATTCTTACTGCCTTTTGGGACATGCCAAAAGGGACAAGACAGGAAACTGAGGGGAAAAAAAAAAAAAAAAGAGTGTGATCACTCCAGTATTCTTGCCTGGAAAATCCCATGGACAGAGAAGCCTGGTGGGCTGGATCGCAAGGAGTCGGGTACAACTGAGCAAACACACACACACACACATTTATGAATTTGGAGGACCAGAGATGGTCTTGTGGTAATCTACTCCAACACCCATATTTTCATAAGAGTAAATAAAGTTTAATACATGAGCATAGGAATTTTTAAACTTGAATTAACTCAGAATTTCATTTTTACGATGAAACTTGGTGGGAAAATGACCACCTCAACATGGTTAGATAAAGCCTGTGACTTAATCATTTAAATCAGCTGTTCAAAGGGGAGCTCACTGATGTGAAAAGTGTATAACTTCTGAAAAGCTGCCAAGATCAGTTTTGAATAAATGCTGAATAAAGTGTTGAATAATGGATGAATAAATAGATATATTTGATTTTAAAGGGATTTAAACATGCCTGTCCCAAAATTAACCTTCAGAAGTGTAAGGTCAATTATTTAACAGACAATATCTTATTATGAACTCTCAGGTTGAAAATTTTTAGGGGCAGGGATTGCATCTAATTCATCTCTACTTACTCAGTACCTTGCACAGACCATGGGCTCAGTTAATGTTAGATGGACTGGTGAATGAACAGACAATAATTATATTATTCTATTTAATTTCTGTGTGGACATATAGGCAATTAATATTTGCCCTTTAAAAAAAATTCTTGAAAGTTGGGACCAGAAAGATGCTGACTGACTTGAAAAACCAGCATTCTGGCACTTTCTATTATTTAGCTTTATTTCAAAGGTATAAAATACAAATAGTACACAGTCCAAAAAAGAAACCAGGTGATTTAAATTTCTTCTGATAATCCTTGGTATGTAAAAATTAGATATATTTATTAACACAATAACAGTGACAACATTTCAGGTTAGAAAAAACCAACTTGCCACGAAAAGTATAATTACACAAAAATATGCAACAATTTCTAATATTACACAATACGAAATACGCTCTTTATTAGTCAGTATGATGTAATGGTGTCACTGACATTTATTTAAAACTTGTTTTGGTATTTCCTCTTATTATGTCAAAGTATACAAGCCAGAGCCTTCATTTCAACACTGTCTTTGGCCTTTGAT